TTTCCATCACTCTGGCAAGCTGACTGCTCTCATCTTCTGCACCAGCCTTTCCTGGCAGTGTCTTGTGCTTCTCCCTTGCTTCTTTACAGCCCATTTAAATTCTCTTTGCCATCTCATTGTGTTGGGGCTTGTCTCTTTGTCGTGCTGTGTTCCTCCTTTTCTCTTCAGTTTCCCAGTAAGGCCAAGTGTCTGGTCTCCTCTTGCTGGTGTGCCCATATGACTATCTCCTCACAGCTGGACTTCCCCACTCTAACTCAGTCTGTTCGAAGGGAATTTCTTCCTTCCCCCAGGATAATGTGCTGGTTGGCCTTCAGGTAGCACATTCTCCCTCTGGAACAGGGCTGCATGGCTGTGTGCAGGCAGAAGCAAGCAGATTCTCTGGGCTTGTTGAAAATGAGGATGACTTGATTCAGGTGTTCTATCTCCATACTGCTGGTGCCTGACCTTCCTTCCCAGCAGGCACTGCCCTACTGCCTCTGGCCGAGCTGCTTTGCCCAGGCAGAAGGGATTCAAGTTCACCCTTGTGTATCCTCTGCTTGTACCTCCAGAGCTAAGAGTCCTTTGGGAAAATGGTCAAGGAAGGCTGTCACCAGGGCACACCCAGGTCTCCTCCTGTTTCCACAAGTGGCAAAATCACCATTTTGTGCCTTTCCTGCAGGTTACTCGGCTGGTGAAGGTCACCATGAACAGGTCACCTTATTTCAAGTTGGTCGGCCCCAATGGTGTGTGCCATCAAATCCCAGCAGGCTCATTTTGCACTCTAAACATCCTTTTCACCCCTGAGGGGAACAAGGTGAGTTTGGAGGAACATTCTCTCTAAAGCTACAGCGTTTGTTGCACACTGGTTATAGCCCAGCCCATGCTGTGAGGTCAGCCCTGGGCTGGGGGCAGGCAGCCTGGAGCTGGTCACACCTTGGCACAGCATGGTGCTGCCAGTCCCTGCAGTGGTTAAACACCTTGGCACAGCATGGTGCTGCCAGTCCCTGCAGTGGTTAAACACCTTGGCACAGCATGGTGCTGCCAGTCCCTGCAGTGGTTAAACACCTTGGCACAGCATGGTGCTGCCAGTCCCTGCAGTGGTTAAACACCTTGGCACAGCATGGTGCTGCCAGTCCCTGCAGTGGTTAAACACCTTGGCACAGCATGGTGCTGCCAGTCCCTGCAGCTGGGCCTAGAGGGCTTTGCTTTCCCTCCATGCCTATTCTTGAATGTTCACAAGGGAAGAGGCACATGGAACAGCAGGGAAATGACAGGAAGGGGTGTTGATGTTTAGCCATCTCTAGGCTCACTGGAAGGGGTTTAATTATGGAAAATACCAGAGGAACAAAAAGATCCAGAGAGCTTTATTCTTCCCCTTTGGAATGGAGCAAAAATGATGCTTTTTCACGTGCTCTGTTCTCCAGCCTTTATTAGTATGAATTAGTGGTCATTTTTGGGGTGGAAGAGGTAAATTCATGCCCACAAAGGCTCACAGAAAACAGCCCTTTTTCTTCTGCCATGAGGATGGCACTCAATGCCTTGTGCTTTGTCAGTCTCTTTTCCTGCAAGACCATTTCCACGAGCTTGTCTGCGTCTGCCAAGGGGAAACGCTCATTGTGCCAATCCGGGCTGTTGGTGCCCGCCCGGTCTTGGACTTCCCCGAGCAGCTGGACTTCTCATCGTGTCCTGTCAACCACAGCACGCAGAAGACTCTGCTGGTTCGCAACACCGGGAACCTGGAAGCCTGTTACAGCCTCAGCACTGAGAGGTAAAGCAGCTCATCTGTCTTAGTGCAAAACACCTTTGGGTGATGGCAGAGTTGGGAAAGAGTATCCCAAAGGAACCAGAGCATCCGAGCTGCTGCACTGCAGCCACAGCTGGAAAGGGGCAGGACATGTGGGGCCTGCTGTTGCTTCTAGTGTTTTAAGCAGGATGCAAGCCCTGAGCTTTGTCTCTCCCAGATTTCCTGGGGACTGCTGGAACACGTTAGTGGTTGGTCTGCACCCTCCTGAGCACCAACACCTTCTGAAATGGCTGCCTCCCAGTGTCAGCCAAATAAACCCATTCTCCAGGAGGCCTCCAGCATGTGGCACATCAGGGGGCCCCTCATCAGATGCCCAACGTGAGCTGTGTTGTGAACAGCCTGTGCCATTCCTGTTAGTCAAAGCCAATCTGATTTCCCTTGTCAGCTGAGGGCATCAGTCATCTCTCCTGTTTCATGAAGAACCTTTGAAAGCCAGTATAAATTTTCAAGCAGATCATTTAATATTTGAATAGAAGCATTTTATTCTAATTAAGTGTCCCCCACCTTTCATTCAGATTTCTTTTAAAATACTCTGAAGTTCCCGTGTTTCTGCTTTTTTTTTCAATTTATTTTGTTCTTGGTTAAATTTTTGTCAAACTGTCATTCATTCTTCCTTGGGAACTTTCTTCAAGGTCCTCTCATACCTGTTGATCTACCATCTGCCCATAGGCATATGCACAGGTGTATAAGAAACAGGAGCAATTTGGGGAATATGTGAAAATGTCGGAGATGCAGGGACTGATTTGCACTTGAGTTCTTAGTCCTGAACTTGGCTGGATCCTCTTCTGAGAATTTGAAAATAGGAAAACACCTTCTTTCTCAGGCATCCCCTGAAGTCAGCACCAGGAGTCTCATTCCCCATCCAGCCATCTGAGGGCAGGAGTATATGGACATGGGGCAGGAGTAAGAAGGGAACGGGAGGGAAGGTAGTGCTGAAGAGTTGCCAGGGATTTCCCTTAAGTAGTAGCTTCTCTGTTCTGGAAAAATTTCTGGCAAAAGAACAGGAAAAAAATTCCATGCCTTTCCCAGGCCAGGCAATGAACCCCTGAGCCCCAGCAGAGCCCTGCAGCAGTCCTGGCACCCCCATCGGGGCAGATGCAGGAGCACAGAGAGTAATCCAGCTCTGGGGCTGGTGGGACCTTGTCTTTCTTCCTCTCTCTCCAAAGTCTCAGGCCCAGCACAAAAACATTGCTGGCCCAAGGCTTCTCCATTAGCCAGTAGTGATGTTCTCACTGGTGGTAATGGGCCCGGGTCAGGCCCCTAATTGCAGCAATAGCTCCTTAAGGAGCAGAAAGAGCAGCAATTCCATCAGCTGTCACCACTGAGAGGAACAAAGTTCAGCTTGCACACGGCTCCAGTTGTTCTTCTTATTTATTTTTTTTGTGTTGCATTCTCTAATAATCATCAGAGTCCCCAGGAAATGTTTTTAAGGTGACAAATTAACCATCAGCAAAGCACTAATTTTTTTTTCTCAGTGGGGCTGTACAAAGAGCACAAAGCCCAGCAGCCACTGGGCAGAAGCACCTTTCACCTGAGCTATCCCGAAGCATTAAAGCACTGATTTTTGTGTCTGTCAGGCAAGAGCTGTTTACCTGGTGACAAAGCCAAATTGCTCCTGTTAAATCCAAACTGCACCCACATTTGCCTAATTATTACCCTTGTTTCTCTGGTGGGCCAAGCAAAGAGTTACCAGGCTGATGACACTCCAGAATCCCAGACTGCATGGCTGCTGAATACACAGAAACCTCCTGTTCAGCTCCCTTGCTGTGCTGCTCTTAATGGCACTTCATTTAGCTGGGATTGAATCCTTCAAGCTGTAAACGGGACCCTCCTTTTGGGTATTGTTTCCATGTCACTGTATTGCTCCAATTTGCAGTTGCACTCATTCAGTTTTCATTGCTCCTTTTCTTCGAGCAGCTTTCACTGAAATGCTGATAAAACGTGCCCTTTCTTGGGCTAAACCAGGATGTTTACAAGGGGAAAAACAACCCCACACAACCACACTGCAAATTAAACTCATTATTCTCTGGTCTTCAAGGAAGACTTTATTCTCCCTGTTGATTCCTAGGCTGTAATCTCACAGGACAGGTAGTGCCCTGCCGTTTGCATTTCTTGAACAGGGGATTGAAAAAGAGAAATTTCTGAGGCAGTCAGTGTCAAGCTGTGTATGCAAATAGCTCTAAACCCTCTCTGTGCTCTTCCCAAACCACTCTCTGATGGGATTGTTGGCAGTCAGACCCTTGAGCCTCCATGCAGAGTATGGGGGAGATGAGTTCATTTTATCCAACAGGATTTTCTGCGGGCTGCATCTCCTCAGAAGAGAGTCAGTAGCTGTTTCTGATGCTGTGTGTTCTGTCTGTCTTCTGCTGACTGTGGTTGCTTTGCTCCTTGCTTGCACAAGTCAGCTGAAGTGAACTAGACTGCAAATATCCCCAAACCTCCCCCAGGAGTCCTGATCTCTCTCTCGGTCTTGCAGCCCTTTCACTGTCAGTCCAGCCACGGGAATCCTCGACATTGGTGAAGCCATGCAAGTGACAGTGGAATATCACCCAAAGGAGATTGGGCATCATTCCACATCCCTGGCAGTGCACTACAACATAGTTGGTGAGTGCTGGGCACTGCACGGTGCACTCACCCTGCATCCTTCAAAACAGCAGAACCCTTTCTAAGCAGAATAACGTTAGACTTGCTCTGCAAACTACTTGTAGAACTGTTCATTTCAAGCCTCCGTGTGTTTCAGTGCTCAGAAGTGAGCAAAGAAGGGGCCAAGGCTGAGTCTGTCCCTGTTCTGGATGTGGTGTGTGGCTGTGTGCTGGTCCATCCCTGGGGGGACCCTGGTATCAGCATGGTGTTCTCCCTCCTGCACCCCCACCACAGTCCTCTACCAACTCCCCACTGTCCCAGCCACCTGAATTCCCCCTCCAGCAGCACTGCCCCATCCCAACTTTACCACAAAGAAAAGTGAAAACTAGTTAGTGTTTAGGGGGTTGATAAAGTGGATGCCCTCAAACAGGGATGAGATTCACCTGTGGTTTGCTCTGGTCCTTGTAATTAATTCCATCAGCGAGTGAGCTGAGCACAGACTCCTCTTTGCTTTGTTCCAGATGAAGATACCTACATCAGGCTTCTTGGAAAAGCTAAGGACTTCAACGTCGGGCTGGAGAAGTACTCTTTGGAATTTGACAAGACTTATCTCACACTGTCAAGCCAAAAAACCATGGTCATCCACAACAGAACTAACATCACAGCCCGGTTCCAGTGGAAGGCTTTTTCTACTGAGGCAGAGGAGCATCCACAGAAGATCAGGTTGGTCTGAAAGATGCGGTGACATGCACTGCCCAAGGGTAAAACTAACATATGGGCTCAGGGGCTGCTTGTGCTCTTGAGTGCTTTAGGGTATTCGGAACAAGCAGGTGTTCCTGCAAAGTTTGCAGGGCAGTCACAGCTCGCAGTAAAGAGCCAACAAAGTTGCTGGTTGTTCAGTTGTCAGTTCGGGAGAGGTGCAGTTTGCTCAGAGACAGGGGGACCAACCAGCAGCATGGGAGGATCATGTGGCCCTGTCCTCCCTTTTGAAGTGCTGTGGCCTCACCTTGAACAATGTCAGTGACCTCCAGAGCCACCTAATCAGCACATAATGGGGGACACACAGTAGGCCTGCTGGGAAGCCTGTAACTCCAGAGTATCCCAGCCAATGGAGAAACGGGGAGGGACCTGTGCTCCAGGCAAAGGGGATAAAAGAAGCTGCAGCCTCCACTGAGTTGAGAGACCTCGCTGAGGTTTGTTGAGTGAACTCTCCCTTTTATTAGAATAAAGGTTTATTTTTTTAGTTAGCTCCTCTGTCTCCTGGCCATTTATGTGAGTTACTTCTATACAGTCCCTCATTAGCATGAGAGGCGAGAGTGGGAGTAGTTTTGCCATTCCACATGCTCAGGTCTTAGTTCAGTGGTTGTCAGGGGTCCACTCTGGGGGTCCTCCAAGGCGAGTGCCCCCTAAATCAATTGTCCTATTTGTGACTCCGCTTCTTGCACTTGGGCAGGTATTCACTTGTTATATAACACAAGGCAGTAGAAGGTGGGGGTGCAAAGTATCAGGGCCTTCTGGCACATCATGGTGAAATCACTGTCTGTTGATGGAGGTTGAGTAGAGGGTTGCCATCTAAGTGGCTGAGAGCCCTCCTCATGCCCAGCACTGCAGGTCAGCCATGGAGAAACATTTCCAAATGCGCTGCCCCGTGGCTTGGGCTCAGCCCCTTGCTGGGGAGCTGCTGCTGCTCCTCCCTGAGCGCTTTGCTGCTTCTGCACTTACACTCAGCTCTGCAAATAAGTGGCTTATTAAATGACCTGCTGCCTTTGTTTCTCCCTGTGGCTGCAGGCTGTCTCTCAATCTGCCTCGGCCGCCCCTGGAGACAGCGAGGCTCTCCGTAGAGAAGCGCTATGAGGAGCTGGACCTTTATGACCGCGAGTTGGAGAAGGCAACAGCAAAGATTGAAGCAGACCCCATGCTGTTCTCAGACGATGTTTTCACCATTGAGCCCTTGGTAAGTGATAGCTGAGAACCTCCTCCCCCTCCCTGAATGAGCTCACTCGGCAGATCCCCACCTCAGCTGGCTTGATGTGCCCAGAGAGAAGACATCAGGTTCCTGGTGAGGCTGGAGAGCTTCTTGCAAAAAGCATTGCTACCCTGTGGGCTCCTGGAAGGCAGCAGGAACCTGCCTAAAGCTGAGCTCTGCTGCAAGGGCTCGACGTCAAGGGAGCTTGGTGCGTGTCCTTGCAGTGTCCAGAGGGATCAGTTATCGCAGGAAGGGGCACAGCTTACATGTGATGTGTGGGGCTTAGCAGAGGGTGTTGGAGCACTGTCAGTTCACAGATTGACCTGAAGCGAAAAGGAGGCCAAATTCAACCCAAGGTCATGGAAATGCCAATCCCTCCCTGGAACCAGGACTTACAGCATGTCTGAGTCTCCCTTCCAGTGTCATCTGGGAGCCTGAACACAAGACTTTGAAATGAACTTTTTGAGTTCTGTTGCACGCAGGGACAGAAAATCTTTTTCTGTTTATGCAAGCAGACCTCCATGTCCTTCCATCAACCAGAGCCCTGATTATGAGTATTGGCACAGCGTGAGATGAAGAATCCCCGCTGTCTGCGCAGTGCAAAATCCTTCCTCATCTTGGAGTAAACCCTACAATAATCCCAGCCTCTGCTTTCTTTTAAAATAAGTTGAACTAAGTTTTTTCTTTCCAAGGAAGGGGATCGTGTTCTCTTCTTGATTACTCCTATAGCCCATCTAAGGCCAAGAGCCACCAGTGTCAACACAACAGCAGTTTCACACCACTGTAGCTGACAGCAGCACAATGTGACCAAGAGCTTGTGTCAGAGCAGTAGGAATATTGTAGAGTGGGAGCTGATCAGCTGAGCATTAAGAGCATCCTGTGGTGTGTTGAGCTGGTTTTGGAGTGTTTCCTCAGGCTCTTTCTGTTGTTCACTCCTTGCTCTTAAGTAAAGGCTTACAGGTTGAAAAGAAGAAATGTGATATTGGAAGGTAAATCGTTTGCTGTTTCTTTCTGTTTTAGGAGGGAGAGGTTGGGCCACACTCTTCAGCTGAGATCAAGGTGTTCTTTAAACCCCGAGAAGCCCAAGTCTATACAAAAGTGGCCTACTGTTCCATCTCAGGTATGGCTCCTTCTCCTCTTTCTCTCACCCACAGTGAGGGGGAGGTGCAAATACTCTTCCAGCCCACTGGGCTCCCATGGAAGTGCTGGGAAGGGTCCATGGTCAGCAGGGCAGTGCTGGCTCATGTGCACTGTCCCTGTGGCTTCCTGGTGGTTTCCCATGCAAGGCCAGGGCTCAGGACACTGATCCCAGAACAATCCAAGCAGTGCATGGTTAAGCTTTCATGACATGGGTTTGCCAGTATTTCCTCAAAGGCCAAAGAGCTACACAGCAGAACAGCTTTAGGGAATGGGCACTAAGCCCCTCTAGAGCACTGACCTCCAGGATGGCTCCTCATTACATGGATCCATCATCAGGCAGTAGGAGCTGAGGTAGAAATGTGCTCCCCGAGCCTGGATCACCTCCCACTGCCCAGACAACAGCAGACCAGAGGTGGCTGAGCCCTGCTGAGCCCAGGCTGTCTGCAGAAGGACCACCCCTAGCCAGCACCTACTTCTCTCCCTGCGTGGGAATTGTCACCTTCTGGCTCTCAGGCTGAGGTGTGTCCAGGTGGTGGCCACTGGGCTTGCTGTGCTCAGCTTCCAGGAGTGCTGTCAAGTCCTTTTCTGGGAGCAGTTATCATTGCTCCCCCACCCCAAGTCACCCCCTCACAGAGGTGGTGGCTTTGCTGTGCCCACACAGGGCAGGGAACACTCACAGAGCACAGTGTGGTTCAGGTTCCCCTGTCCTTCCTCTCTGTCTCTGCATGGTGCTGCTTAGTGTTTTTCACCTTAAGTGGGAGATGGCTGTCAGGTTTCCATCCAGGGAATACTCTGGGTTTGCCCATCTAGGAGAAAGAGGTGGGAGGCCCATGGTCCTCCAGCAGCCAGGCTCCCGTTCTGGAGGGCACTGCAATCCCTAACCCAGCTACTCTGTTGCCTTCCTTCCTGCTCCAAGCTGATGGATACAAGTGTCAGGAAGCTTTTTATTTAGACAGTAATTGTGCAGGGATAACTCAACAAATGCCATCTACAGTAACTACTCAGGGCTCATGCTAACAAACTCTCTTCCTGCCCACCAACTGCCATTGTTAGAGCTGTGGAAGGAAAGCAGGGATTTAAAAAGTTGCTCCCAAGGCATTCCTTGTGATGTCCTGCATCGTGTGAAACTGTGCATCTCTGTTTGTTGACATGGTCAGATGAGAATCATGTTCCAAGCCAGTCACCAAACACGGGGACATTCTGTGAACAAGATGCTGAGTGTCAGAAAGCAGCAGAAGCTGAAGACTTTGGCAACAAAGTCCTGTGCTGTAGGGCCACTGCCCCCCAATTTAGTTAGAAGCCAGGCAGCAATGCCCAACTCTTTGCGAGCTTTGTCCCTTCACTGAATGGATTTCAAAGCTCCTCCAAGTGCGTGGGAAGGAAATCAGAATCATAGAATGATAAGGGGTTGGAATGGCCCTTAAAGATCATCTAGTCCCAAACCCCCCTGCCATGGGCAGAGACAGCTTCCACTAGCCCAGGTTGCTCCAAGCCCCGTCCAGCCTGGCCTTGAACACTGCCACAACTTCCCTGGGCAACCTGTGCCAGGGTCTCACCACCCCCACAGGGAAGAATTTCTTTTGTATATCTAACCTAAATTTCCCCTCTTTCAATTTGTCCCCATTACTCCTTGTCCTATCACTACGGAAATCATGTTTTAAACTCAGCATTGCTTTTTCAGGGTGCAAACTGGTGGCTAAATGGGAAACAAGCCCAAGGGGTGGGTTAGAAATTGGAAGCCAGCCCCAAGGCATATCACCTGAGGGAAGAGAAGGGTCCATCTCTTCCCCCGGAGCATCAGGAGCTGGTCTCACCCATCTCGGAGTCAGGGACTAGCATTGAGGCAGCCTGGAAAAAGCAGAATAAGAGAGTAAGAATTACTCTACTGAAATGGAAATCTCTCCCCAGGCCGTGAGAGCAGGCTGCCCCTGTGCCTCACAGGGGAAGGCCTTGGGCCCTGCCTCCGTTTCAAGTTTCCGGAACTGGACATGGGGAAAGTTTTGGTTGGAGAAGCCTACAGCTATGAGGTGAGCAGCAGGGGCTGGGGTAGATCCTGATGGCTCCTGGGGCAGAGGGGAGCCTGGTGGACTTGTGGAATTTCTGGCAAGTTGGGCAGTTGTGAGCAGGGAATATTTGACATCCTAGTCAAATCTGGGGAATTTCACAGAATCTGGGTCCTTTTCCAGGATCTGAAAGGTGTTGTCTGTTGTTCACGAAACCCCAGTTCCTGCTTTTTGGCAACCTCCCTTGGAGATCAGCTGGGATGCTTTCTGCAAAACAACCCCTCAACACATGAAAGCAACACTGGGTCAAAAAGCTGAAGTGTTCAGAGGCTTCTGTTCCAGCCTCAGACTCAAGGCACCTGTTGTACTGTTTTGGCTTCTGCCACGTAGCAGCACAGAGCATCTTCTGCCTTTCCAGGGGTTAATAATTTATTAGAAAGCAACTCAGCCTTCTGTAAGAAAGGAAGGTTGCTCATGTATTTCCATTTTGCTTTCTTGCTGCTGCAGGCAATCCTGGTTAACACGGGAGCTATCAATGCTCCCTTCCGGCTCATCCCTCCAACCACAGTCCACGGCTCCTGCTTCACCTTTCAGCCCCGGCAGGGCATCATTCCACGCAATGGGATCCTGCCCATCCAGATCTTCTTCAGTTCCAGCACCCTGGGGGAGTTCGAGGAAGAGTTCCAGTTCAATGTGGCTGAATGCCCTAAACCTGTGACCTTGATTGTCAGGTGAGGAAGGCTCTGGGAGCTTGGTGGGCACATCTGTAGCTGTCTCTGAGTAATCATCTCCCACCTGCCTCATTTGGTGGTGGAGCAGAGAAAAAAGGTGTTGCTTGAGGTCTTAGTCTTGGCTCTGATGTTGGCATCCCCTTAGTGTGGGGGTGCCTTCTGCCCAGTGCAGGTACCCAGGAGCTGGAGGGACTCCTTCCTGCAGGGTCTTCCTTCCGTTTTGGCCGTGCCAGGCAGTGGGAAGGCATCAGCTCTGGGCAGTTGCTGGTCTGGGATGTCCCCTATGAACACCCAGGGCTTTGGAGATGGGCCAGCCTGGGTGACTCTGCAGCCAGAAGAAGTGGTTCTAAAATCCTCTGTTAATGATCCGTGCCAAAGGGGCAGCAGCAGCCTCACATCATCCCTCGTGCCCGTGCACAGGGATGTGTTCCTGAGTCCTGTGCAGGGAGTGCTCTGGGACCTCCTTTCCACAGCAGGAAGGGACTGGGGTGGGAGATGGGGAGCTCTGCAGCAGCAGGGACTGTCACAAGGACTTGGGCATCCTCCCATGGGCTGGTGCCATTGCAAAAGATAATCCTCGCCCAGCAATGGGGAAAAGGGGTGATGACAGGAGAGGCAAAGCTCTCTCCTCAGCACCACAGCAGCACGAGGGCTTGTCCCAGCTAGTCTGAACCACGGGCTGGTGGGGTAATGTGGTGGAGGCAGGAAAGCTGATGCTGGGAGCTCTGGAGCTTTGGAGGTGGCTGTGTCTGGGCCACTGTTGGGAGGCACTGAATCAAGGTAGTAAAGAAACAAAAGGAATCTGCAGTCCATTCTACTAATAACATCAGGGAAATGGATAAAACATAACAAAAAGGTTATTACTTTGCAAGAGAAAAGTAGTGAGTCGGTCTTTCTCCTAAGGCAAGGGCACAGAGCCATCTCTGGGTGTGTGTACAGGGTCCTCCATGGGGCCAGCAGCACCTCGGGGGCATGCCCTGCCTGCCGTGGTGCCCTGAGCCCCATCAGCAGCTGTTGGCTGCCTCCTGTGCCCACAGACGCTGTGCTGAGCACAGGGTGCGGGGCTGGTTCGACACCCACGGGGCTCTGACACCAGCTTTGACCCACCTGAGCTGGAAGGACGGCCAAAGGCTTTGCAGTTCCCTTTAACCAAGCCATTGCCTCCTCTGTCCTCGTCCTCGCAGGGGTCACGTCACCGGACTGAGCCTGCACTTCAGCACAAATGGCCTTGACTTCAATGACGTGTCCTTTGGTGAGTGTTCCCTGGGCTTGGACACAGCAGGGGGGATCTGTGCCTTGCCAAAACGGAGCACTTGAACAGAAGAGCATCTGTCACTCGTGCTCTTCCATGGCAGCCTGCAGGGTGTTAACTCCAGGGCTGCTGATGGCATTTCACCATCATGAGCTCCAAAAGGACCAAAGGAACAGAAAGTCAGTATTTTCTGGTGTCCCTCGTAGTCTCTTCTGCTCCAATCTCCCAGTCCTTGCCAGCAGAATGACCGTAAAAGTCCTCGTCCCAGGAGGGCCCAGGGGATGGGACTGCAGGAGAAGGGAGCTTAAGCCATGTACCTTTAGTGTGGGATGTTAATTAGTGATGTGAGGGCACCTCATTATCCCTGAGCAGGTCAGATGCCCCAGCAATAGCTCTGCCTCAGGCACCTGTGTCCTCGGAGCTGTGGGCTTCTTCTTCTTCCCCAGGAGAAGCCCACAGCTCTGCTGACAGAGCTTTTGGCTGAACATCCAGAGCATTGCCATTGAAATGCTGGTTCTAGTTCTCCATCCCAGGCTCACAAAAGGCTTTGTACTGAGATGATCTACAGTTTAAATGTGAAATCAGTCATGGATTGGCTGAAGGGCTGTTATCATTCTGCACCCAGGATGCCTCTGTGTTTTCATGCAGTTCATGGACTTTTTAAGAAAAAACTCATTACCTTTCCTGAGCTGCTTCCTCCACTCCATCACTGCTGAGCCCCTTCTTAGTTTCCTTTTGAATAAATGAAACAACACGAAAGGCAGCAGGCACAAATATTGTTCTGTTAGAGGAGATTCATCCTGTTTACTCTGATTTCATTCCTAAGACCTCCTCAGCTGAAGGCAGCTGTTGTATCTTTGCTTCTTTTAACTATGCTGCTGGCTGTTGTCTGCATCTGGTGACCTTGGTCTCATTCCGGACTGGGACACCTGTGTTTGTCCTTTTTGTGCCCCTCCTGCCTCCCTGCTGGAGTCACTGCTGGAGCTGGGCAGTGTCACTGTTGATGGGCACGGAGAAGCTCCCTGCTGTGCCTGCAGCTGGTTTTCCTCCCCATCTGGGTTCAAATGACGCTTGGTAAGCAGGCCCTGGGAGATGTCTCCTCCCCACAGAGCTGGCCAGCCAAGCCACATGTCCACTGCAGAGCAGGCTGTGGGCTGGTGTCCTGGCTCTGCAGGACATCCCCACCAGGCGTGGCTGTATCCCAGCTTTCCATTACGGAAAGCAAGTCTCAGAGCTAAGGTGGTGTCAGCTCTTGTGGGCAGCAATCACAGCCAGTGTGCAGTGTGGCTGTGATGTCCCCATTTGTCGGATAAGACGAGACATGGTTTCTAATCACTGATCTCAGAGCAAGCCTCAGGTTTGCCTCTAGTGAAGTGGGCTGTGAGTTGTACGTGGTTGCCCCAAGCCAGGAGATACCTTAAGGATCCTGCCTAAAGAAACTGCATTGGGGTGCTTTGCATCATGTTCCATCCTCCCTTTCTTTTGCTGTAGCTTCTCCCCAATGACAACTCAGTGCTTTTATATCTTGAAAATGGTGGGAGTGTTGGCAGCGTTAACAGGGAATTTTATGGATTGAGTTTTCAGGGTAAATGGTCGATCTGGATGCACACTCATCAGTGTGCAGAAATAATTGATGGTGCTGGTTTGGGGCAGTTACAGAGGGAGAAACTTGTGGTGTTCAGCAGGGCTAAGAGTGGGCATTTCCAAGGCAGCAACCTGAGACCAGTGTCCAAGTTACGATTCATTGCTCGCTGAGCTGCTCAGTGAGCTGTCCTTCAGATAACAAAGAGCTGAACTCCAAGCGCAGTTTCATCCTAGCAGGATATTCACACCAGAAATCACGAGATGCTTGGTGCCTACTCAGCCATTTGTGTCATTTCCTAGGCTTTCCTCAGACCTTGTCGTGCCACCTGATCAACACCTCTGTGGTGCCCATCACTTTCCATCTTCGCGTTCCTGAGGACGGCCAGGGACAGCCCAGCCTTACCAGCTTTGACCAAGTGAAATACAACACTCACCCCTACTGGGAAAAAGGCACACTGGCTCCATGTCAGGAGAAGCCAATGGAATTCACTATAACACCCAGCACAGGGACTATCCCTGCCCACGGATTCCAGGAGATCAGGGTATGGGAGGAGTCTGGCCACACGTGGGTCAGTAGGTGGGGCTGAAACCTCACTGGGGTGTGGGAGGGCTTTAGTGCTGCCGGTTGTCAGTGTGTGCAAGGGAGGGATCTGCGGTGGTGTGGGAGCTGGGTTACTTGGAATGTTCCTGAAGGAGCACCATTTAGTCTCCAAAATCATAAGCTGAGATCACATGGTCAACAGAAGCCATTCGTGTGTTGTTTTTGAGCGTGACTGCTTTGACTGAGAACAGGCAGAGGAAGGATGAGGACAGAAGGTGGCTGTTAGAGAGATGCCACTGTATAAAGTAGTTTGCTTTTCTTCCTGGTCTCGTTTCTCCTCTCCCGGGGAGCAGAATGAGTTGTGGTCACTGCAGGGATCCCCAGTGAGGAAAGAAAAAACTTGGCAGCCATGAACTGCCCAGCATCTGCAGGAGCACACTTTGCTCTCAGCTTCCTGCTGAAAAGCTGAACTCATTCTGTCCAAGTCAACACATTTCCTTTGCATTTATGTTATTGTAGTCAAATGAAAAATGGGCCCCTAATTTGAAGACAGTGGTGAGTAGAGCTTAGTCTCATTATACGTGATTATGAATAATGCTTTAATTTAGCCACCTATGCCCTGACAGCTGCAAGGTGTGTTTAACAAATTAACAAGGCTTGTGTTACTCCCAGAGACTTGTGCTCTACGCATGGGCCAGCAGAAGAATTAAGGCAAAATCCTCCCTTTCCTTACTGTAAAACAGGAACTGGAGGAGACCACACATGGGTAATGAGCTTCTGGGAGAAGGGAAGTATTTACTGCTCTTCTCTTCCACCAGGTCACGCTGTGTTCCAACGACGTGGGACAATATGACTGTGATATGGTGGTGGATGTGGATGGTTTTGGCAAGGAGGTGTTGGCTCTACGCCTCAAAGCCAGGTACCAGTGCTTTCCTTGCAGCTGCTTGTCCTTCCCCATGCACCCGCCACCAGCACAGTGCCTTGCTCGGGGTTTGCTGGCTGCAGCTCCAGGAGAAGGCTTGCTTAATAAGCTGGTTCTACCCAGCTAGGTAGGAGAACAGCAGTGCTTGGAAAGCAGCCCGTGGTGAGAAGCACCCCTGCTCACAGCCAGACATGGCTCTGGGCCTTTTTCTATGGGGAACAGGAATGACATTATTTATTGGCCTGGCTTTTGCTGCTTGAGGTGTAAAAATTCCCCAGGTCCTCCTGTCCTTCTTCCTGCAAGAGGTGGGCTTGTGCTGGGTTCCAACCACACTGCAGCATTGGTTTGGGACACAGTGAGCAGCCTGCTGAGAGCTGGGGTCTGGTTCAGTTAACGAGGGCACGTGGCAATGGGAAAGGGGCTCATGGCAGGAGTGGGGAGGGCAAAAAAGGCAAGATCTTACGAGGGGAAAGTAGTCCTGGATGTGGCAGGTGGGCTCAGGTTTCCCTGCTTCCCTCTGGCTCTTTTGAGCATTAACGTTCTCAGACTTAACACAGGTGTTGCTGTCGCTGCAGCCAAATTCCCTCCTGTGGTGCTGCCCTGGGTGTCAGTTGAATGACAAGAGGGATGCAGTTCCCTGGTGCCGTTCCCTCTCCCAGGCAGAGCCGTCCAGTCAGTGCCTGGGCTGCAGTTTTGTAAAGCAAGTGCCAACGGGGACAGACCTGGGGTGCAGCAGCAAGGGAGCTGTAGGAACTGGGAGGATGATCACCCACTCCCTAGGGCAGGTGGTGGCTCATGCCCTCAACGCTGGGCAAACGGCTGAGTTTTCTGGCAGGGCAACAGCACCCTGGGAGAGAAGGGAGTTGTTTTTCCTTAGACACTGGAGTCTTGTGTTCTTGAGCCTTGGTGAGCATTGACCCTCAATGGGAAGGCTCCCCCCAGCTCACTGGGCTTGTTGAGGGAGTCCTTGCAAGCCTCCTTGGGCAAAGGAGGGGCTGAGGCAGCTGTGGGACAAGGCCCGTGCTCTGCCTGGGCACTTGGCAGCCTCTGCAGAGCTGAGTCTCAGGGTTTGCCCCTCCTTGACAAGACGTGTTTGAGTAGAAAGACATGAAAGATGATTTATCTCTGTAGGGGTATTAAATGTCTGTTGGACAGTGACAAATGTCTTATGCTCCATTCCATGCTCTGTGGGATAAATGCTCTCCATTCTCTCAGTATCTCTCATTCCCTCGGGGTCATCTCTTTGCCCAGATGTGTCGTTCCTGAGCTGTGTTTGCTCACCTCCACCCTCGACTGTGGACCGTGCTCTGCAAAGGTCCCTTGCCAGAAGATGCTGACCCTTGTGAACCCAAGCCCCCTTCCAGGATGCTACAGAATTCTCCCTCAGGTTTGGCATCTCATCTACCTCCTCCCCTCAAATACTACTGAGGGGTTTATTAGGGACAAATGGGGTTTGGATAAGACCTTGCTGGCTTCTGTTCAGACTTAAAGGTGAGCTGAGAATAGGATTCTACCTGAATGTAAACTTTAGGAAGCAGTTAAATTGGAACCTACCTGAATATTAACTTCAGGAAGCATTTTAACCTCTTCAGGAAGCAGTTTATATTCTAGTGTTTGGGATATTTTCTTGTGAGAGATCTTAGAAGGTTGTGAAAAGCTGCTGCAAGGAGGCTGCCAGCACAGGAGTGGGTGTCTGTGGATGCAGCAGCTGTTGGGACCCTCTGAGGATGCTAAGCCCCAACAATTCTTGCATCTTTTTTTGTGCCTTTCAGCTTTTTCCTGGGGATTTTTAAAAAACATGTGGGAGTTGCCATTGTGGTAGACGTTAAGGAGTTTAAAGTTTCCTCAAAGGTCCCTCTGAAGTTGCACTTGATTCTGTCCCTCTAGAGAAACCAAGAGGCCGCTGCTCTGTGGTACTCCAGCCCCAAACCATGTGGGATTATCCAAGGTCACGACGTGCTGGAGATCCCAATTACAGCTGAAGTCCAGGCGGTGGGTGCTCATTCCATCCCGGTGGACATCGCCGTGTTCGGGAAGGAGAGATCCCCACTGGTGAGTGCGAGGGGAGACGTGTGCCTTTGTGCAGCTCATCCTGGGAGGGGGGGTGAAGTGTAGAGGGATTCTTCCAGGGAAAGCTGGGACTTGTATATGGCTAGTGTGGACAAGGAGAGACAGCATTGGTGGCAGAAGCAGTTTATGCTGGAAAAGAGGAAGAGTGGAGTCCTCCTAGGGAGTGATCTCAGCATATAGTTCATCTAAGCTGAAATTGAAGATCATTTTATTTAATTAATCTTCCATTTAAAATGCTGGTAACTGTGGAAACATCTCTTTTAAAATGTCATCTCTCTGAACACAAAAGGAGGGTTTCTGGGAACCTTCAGCTTTCTGTGTCAGAAAGGAAGGCTGATGTTTGAAAAGTGGTTGCAGGGAATTAAACTTATATTCAAGCAAATGGAAATGATGATGATGCCAAATCCCCTGGATGGCACCAAACATCTCAAGCCGGGCCATTGCCGTTGTGCACATAAACCAGTCAGCAGGAAGGCCGGGCAGTGCAGGCTGTGCAGGGGAGCCTGACTTTTAACAAAACACTTGCTCGTAACTATCAGGTTGCTCCCCTTAAAGAGCAGGGTTTCTCCCCACCAGAATAACCAGTTGTTTAACTGTCAGACTGTTTTTAACTACAGATTTCTTGCAAAGCTTTTACCTTTGGGCCAACAGTTTACAGTTTGAAAGTTTCCCAGACTTTAATCTTTTTTTTAAGTTGGAGGGAAATATGTCAAATTTTTGCCTAAAAGGCCAGCATTTTAGCTGGAGTGTCATATCTGTCCCTAGAGAAATGACTTGAGTGCGATTGAGCTGTTTAAGCTTTCTTAACTTTCCCTGTTGTGTTTGTTTTTTTTTAAATCTCTCTTACCTGCTCCCTGGAACAGCAAATGAGTTTAATGTGCACTGGAAAGATACCGCTTGTCTACGCAAGTGTGAATAAGATAAACTTCGGCAAGATCCAAGTGATAAAGGACACTTCCCAAACTCTACAGCTGTGCAATCAGGATCTCATCCCCGCAGCCTTCAGAGTAGAGATTGTAAGTGTCTGTGGGGCTGTTTTCCAGTGAAACTCCCTGGTCAGCAGCAGCCCAGGACTTGGATTTCATATGTAAGGTTTCTCTGTCGCTCTGTGGCAGAGAGGAGGCAAGAGATTCCATCTGAGGCAAGAGGAGCCTGGCTCTGCAGGTGGTTTTAGCTGGGACAGCTTTCAGTGAAATAGTTTGCAGAGTTGTAGGAGCAGAAGTGAGTCTGCATTGTGGTTAGAAGTTCTCCCTTTATTTTGTGGAAGGTGCAAGGCACATTTTTGGAGCTCTGAGATGAAGAGGAGCCTGTGGCCCTCTGCTCCTGAAAGGCCGAGGATTTCCCCGTGGTTTCCTCATACCATCTACATTTGCTTTGTGCCAAAGTGCTGTTAATGGTAGAGACCAGGGTGTGAGGTCTGTCCTCAAGCTCCGGGTGGGGAGAGGAGTTTCCCCCTCCTGGGGGTCAGAGTAGCCGGGCTGTTGCACACAAATCCACCTGCGGGGGTTGTGCACCCCTGGAGCCTGTGGCCTCTGCAGCATTCCAGAGTATCTGGAGAGCAGCTGCAGAGAAAGGCTATTTAATTCGTGGAGGCTGCACAGGACAGAAGGAGCTGGGGCTGCTCCCCTGGCAGGGCAGCTGAGCTGGTGCAGCAGAGTTGGTGCAGCCAGCAGGGCTGGGCTGGCTGGGATGTGCTCCCCGCTGCAGGGGGGGCTGTGAGGGGCTTGGAAAACAGGCTTGGGAGGAGGGGTTTGTTCTCCACCATGCTGAGTGGGCTGGAGCTGGTTGAAGCCAGTCCCGACACGGTGGGTGTGGTTGTGTCTGTGGATAAAGCATCAGGCAGTGGGGGAGAGTCCGGGCTCTGCCTCCTTGACCAAGGAGGAGGAGAGCGAGTTTTCCACTTGCTGCTTTCCTAGGTGTCTGAGGAGGAAATGTAACCTCCAAGTGAGGGATTTCGGGGGCAGCTTTCTCCAACTCCACAATGAAGTTCTGCTCTCCACCCCTGCAGAGAGAGCAAGCCACCTCGGATGGGTGGTGCTGGCGTGGAAATGATAGTTTTTGCACGCTCATACTTGGTCGGGACCTGCCGAGCTGTGTCTGTACAGCTGTCCCAGTGGAAGGCCCTCCCTCCCTGCCCAGGGCAGCTTGCAGCTTTCTTACCCCATCCATAGAGGGAAGTCCATGAGGAAGCAGAGGACCAGAGTGCTTGGGAAGGCTGGGCCATGCCCACAGGGCAGTCTTCTTTCTCCTTACTGTTTTCCTGCCCTGCTATAACCATTTAGAGCTGACTTTTCCAAAGCAGAGGGCTCTGGGGCACCTCTTGGCAGCTGATGCTCAGTGGGAAGCCAGAGCTTTGGTCCTTCAGGGGCGAGGACTTTCGTGCTGGGCTTTTGCTCAAGCAGTTTTGCAGTTAGTCTTCAGGCTCTCAGCAGTATCCTCCAGCTGTGTGGCTGCTGTGGTGGGATTTGAGCAGTTATGGCTTTCTGCATCCTTGAGCCTTTGTGAAAACCCAGCTCTGTCGTGGGCAAGCCAGGAGAGAGAAAGTAGCTTCCCTTGGCACACACTCCAAGAAAAGACTGGAGAGGGAATAACCTTCTCCTGAGGAGGAGCATCCCTTGGGTTGGGCAAAACTTAAAAGTCTGTTAAAATGGGTTCAAGGAGAGTAAAATACAGGTTGTATAAGCTCTGCTCTTGTCCAGACACAGTAGCTTAGATTTAGGGAAACGAAGCCTTTATGATTTTTATCCTCCTCTCTGTAGTCATTCCCTTTCTCACACCCCACAAGTCACCAGGGTCCATGGTTTCCACCCTAAATGCATGTTTGCCTTGTCTTACAGGGTGACAGATGCTTGAGTATTGAACCCAGGGAAGGAGTGGTCCCTGCCAAGGCTGAGGTTCCTGTTGTTGTCACAGCAAACCTGGATGACACTGGGAGATTTGAAGGCAGTATGAAGCTGTTCATTGAGAACAGCCTTACCAGTGTCATCCCCATCCAGGCTGTGGGCATCGGCACCACAATTACCATTGACAAACCGTTTGCGCCGAAGCTGAATTTGGAACCCCAGTTCAAGTAAGAGATCTCTTTAACTCCTGCCTCTCCTCTTGGCTCAGCAAGGAGCAGTTATGCTGTAGACTTTCAGGCTAAATCTTGTTCAGTGTTCCTGGCTCTGTTTCCCTGAAGCCAGAGATTCCTTTAGAAACATGTTGTTATGCTCAGGTTCCTTAAATTATTAGAGAGACGCCTCTGCCCAAATTAAGGGGCAAAGGAGACCATTTGCCAAAGTCAGTAGTATGGATTTTTATTTAACAGTAAATGTGAGGTAGAGAGAGATAGAAAGAAATTGGAAAAAGAGAGAAAGGGGGAGAGAAAGAATGACAAAGAGACAAATTAAGTAGAGAAAATATCACTGCTCCTTGGATTCCAATGGCATCCCATTGATCCTCTTCTTGTGGCCTTCTCGGTGATGAAGTGTTCTCAAAGTGATGGTTTCAGTCTGGATCCATTAAGGGAAGCCCAGGATGGTGAGGGAAAAAGCCCATGGTGATGAAGGAAGTCCCTTGTGGTGAGGGAAGATGTGGAAATACTACATCACCAGTATAAACCTATTCCTCTTTGCAATAACGACATCAGAAGGGCACCAAACATTATCTCTGGTCCACATTAAGAGCGGGAAATGAGGATGGTCTCCAAGCTATTAACACCTCAGATTGCTCACTAAGAGCACTTGACTGCAGGGAAATAGCAGCTCCCATGACCTTTTCCATCTCTGCTTCTCCTCCAGCCTCCTTCCCTGCATTTTGCGGTTCAAAGTTACAAACAAGGGGCGTCAGTTCCAGCGGCTGTTCTGGGGCACAGAAGGTTTCAGCACCTTTCGACAGCGTCATCCTCTCCCTGCCCTCAGTGTCACCAAGGGCAAAAATGCTTCCCAGAGTCCCACCACTCCTGTATTTAAGCTGCGGCCACGGAATATGGATCTGCAGCCAGGCGAGACTATGGAGCTGGTGGTGGAAGGCTTCTCCAGCATTGTCCAGGTGAGGTCCCTGCCAAGGGGTTTCTCCTGGAGCCCCTTGACGTTTGCCTGGGAAAATGAGCAAGGGCCTTCAAGACAGTGTTTAAGGCTACAGGTTTCCATGGCAGCACCAGTGGCTTTCCTTGCTGGCCACCATCAGTTGCTAAGGCTTTTTTGTGATTCCATAGCTACCAAACCCCAGTGCTGATCCCAAAATACGGGCTGAAGGAAGTATTGCTCCTTCGGGGCAAACAGGTTACCAGTGTCACCTGCTGAGGCACAAAGGAAGGGCAGAGAAAATAGGTTACACTTAAAAGTAGGAGCCCGAGCAGAAAGTAAATTAAACAAGTGCCAAGTGGTTTCTCTGGGGTAAGCAGAGAATAAAGGAGAAGCCCTGTGAAGGGAGGGAGTGTCTCACGAGTGCCTTTTGTGGCTATTGGGGTGCAGTGTTATGGCCATTGGAGCACAGAAGAAATAGGCTGCAGTACAGGAAGAAAAGGGGGCAGTGTCTGTAACTTTGTGGCCCGTGGTGGGTGAGGAGCCAATGCAGGGTGTTTGCTGGACACCCTGCCAGCAGCACTGGTGACAAGTGACTCTTGCATACAGGACGTGGAGGAGAAACTTGTGTGTGAGGCAATCGTGAAGCCAGAGATAACAAAAAAAGAGATAATCAAGACAAAGGTCACCTGCAAGTTCATTTCTCCCTCTATGCAAATATCATCCAGAGCAATCACTTTCCATGTGGAGAAGGTAAGTCTCTGGATTGCATCCTGGCATTTAACAGCATGGCTCAGTGAGAGAGCTCGTGGGGGGGGTGCTTGTGTTAACACCCCTCTTTACCCTTCCTGAGGCACTTTGCAAAGTAAGTGAGGATGTTTTTAGAGATGAGACTGGTTTTTAACTTCCTCAAAGCAGAATTGCGGCTCCAGCTGCGCTGCTGAGGGGGACCATGGCCACCTGGACCGTGGCCACCTGGAGAGAAATGCCCCTTTCTGTGCTCACTGTCAAGGGAGGTTTTTGAGGATCCTCCAACGCATGGTGATGTCTGAACACCAGTGCTGTAGGGAAGCTGGGAAAACCAGAGATTTCTGTCAATTCCTCAGGCTGATGAGGAAAAACTTGTCATCTCCTGTGTGTCTTTGCTTTCTCTGCTGCTGGTATGGATGCTCTATGGTATAGCTATATGGTATAGCTCTGTGCATTTCCCCAAGCCTCGTCTGCTTCAAAGGACCCACACATGTCCTGCAGCTGCAGTGATGATGACACCAAGGCAAAGCAGGTGCCCTTTAGTCTCTGGATCCCAACTTCTGCATCATCATTCCCACAAGGGGTCTGGAAAAGATGTTGCATTATTTAGTTTCTGTGGTTTTGGGTCTCTCCTCAGGTTCCCAGGCTTCCATAGAAGCACTAAATCCTGGGAACAGGCAGTTCAGATGTAATGAGAAGCTTTTCAGCTCTCCCCGATGCCTGCCTGTGCTCTGCTTGATGCCACACTGATTTATGGAATACTCTGGCACTGCAGCTGTTTGATATCAATATATCCAGAACTAGTTTCCCAAACTCTCTCTGGTTTCTCTGCACCATGCAAGAAGCCCACCACAATGCACAGGCAAGAAGAAGGAGCTTAGGCTGATTATAGCTTTGAGGTTATAGATACCATGTGCCTGTAGCAGAGGCAGCAGGACACATTGCAGAGGGACTGTTGAGGTTTCTGGCTGGCCACATGTTCATGGAATGTTCAAAGTTGACCTTGGGCTGCTGCAGGATCTCCACCATGGGCCAAATCCTGCTTGCTTTTCTCTTCTGACTGGCATCACTGCTTCTAGGAGGCTGCTGGAGCCCATAAGGCTGTGAGAAATGACTATACATGAAGGAAGATCATCTTGTGCTGTTGTGCCCAAGAGAGGAGACAAAACTGGAGACAAACTTTCTGGGGTCATTTTCTGCCTTTGATTTTGTTCAAGCAGCTGCCTCCTCTCAGGGCCCTATTCCCTCCTCTGTACATGGGAGCGTTTCCTTGTCTCCCAGGGGAAGCTGTGGTTTCCAAACATGAAAAGAATCAGCTCTAGAGAAAAATGTCCTGGAAGGTTTAGAAACAAATAAAAAGAGTAAATAGAGATGTATGCACTTCTGAGGTTGAAAAATGTGAAATGCATTGGAAGGGGAAGGAGATCTGTGGCTCCTTGAGGTTGTTTTTCCTTGTCTCCTGTTTCTGTAGTACCCTGATGACGTCCTGACTCTTCAGTACAAGCCTCTGTCTTTAAAAAACACCTGCTGCCTACCATTCCACCTTTTGATGGACTTGGAGCAGCCATTCCTAATCTGTGATGCAAACCAGCAGCCCCTCCCTGCAGGGGCCCAGGTGAGCAGACAAGGACTCTCCTGCCAGTGGGCTTTGAAGAGGGAGGGCTGTGGTGGTGCCCTTCTGTTGGGAGGTCCTCGAGTCAAGAAGTTTATTCCGTAGAGTCAGCAGTGGACTGGCCTGAACTGTGAACTGAGTCAGCAGAGCTGCTGAAGGAAGCAAATCATTTCCATCTGAATTGGAAAGATCCCTCCTGGCTCTAAGATACAAGGAGAAGGGAGCAGGCAGCCAGGTGTGGGCAAGCCATGCAGCAGAGGTGTCTCCTGGAGAGCATCCCAGCTCTCCAGCAGCCATCCTCTTGTATTGCTGCTGAGCACAGAAACAGGAGCCTGAGAATCCCCCACTGGAGTGTGGTGCTTGCAGTCAGACCCCCCCTTGTAAAGAACTGAAGGGTGGACTGGGAAGGCCATGCTGGGGTCACACTTTGAGTGTTTACGGTTTCGTGCTGTCAGACCTTGGGACTTCATCGTGTGGGTGACTGACACTCCTTGTCTCCTTGCAGCCTGTGAAGATGGAGGCAGGTCAGGAACTTCATCTCTACATCAGCTTTAACCCAGCTTATGAAAAGGATCCGATCAGCTGGGCAGCAAAGAAGACTATGAAGATCCGGCTTGTGGAACATCCTTATGAGGAAGAGATCACCGTTCAGGGAGAGGTCTACTTCCCAAATCTCTGTATCCCGACCAAAGCACTGGACTTTGGTTGCATCGTGAGTGGCACAGAGCAAGTGCGTTACCTGGAGATGACCAACTGCAGCCCAATTCCTGCCCACTACCACTGGTCATTCCAGGTGGACAGCAAGAAGTACCCAACAGGGTATGTGCACCTTTGCCCTCTCCTGGAAGCTCTTTTTCCAGATGTCCTGTTTGTACTTTGCAAAGACCAAAGCTGTTTTCCTTTTGACTTTCCCTTGTGGAAATAACACCGACCATAACAGCTGTGGTCAGGCTGGATGCTCAGGGAATAAGTGTTTTCCACGAGTTTGGTGCTGCTGTAGCCCCCCTACTGGTTTCCTCTAGGAAGGAAAGCTGGTGGGGAAATCTGCTTTCTCAGACTTCTGTGGCCTGAGGCAGTGACCACCTTGGTGAAGGGCTCCTAGTCCCAGCTCCACAGTGCTGGTGGAGGTACTTTCACAGCCCTTTGGCCCCTCTGCTATAGGATGGGTCCTCTCTGCAAGCAGAGAAACTGCTCTCTGCTCCTTGCCACCTTCTCTGCATGCCCAGCCTTGGCCTGGAAGTGCTGGAAGATGCCCAGAAAGTCCCAATTCACACCACAGAAAGAGCTAGTTAGCACCTGAGCTGATGCTGAACATCTTGTTACCTTCCCCTTCCTTCTCCTTTTCTGAGACACCCCCTTTCTGAGCTCACTGCACCTGCACCCACCCAGGGGCTGCATCCTGACGAGGAATTGCTCGTGCAGGTGTCCCTCCCTCCCACTGCAGGTCTGTGATCATAGTTATGTTATTTTCCAGGTTCATACCTTCCCCGCCTACATTGAAACCCCAACCACAAATGGCCAGGTTCGGCTGTGTTGAGTGTGGGCGTTATTTAAGGAGATACTTCAGACCTGGAAGTGTGCAGAAGCCAGCCAAAGCCCCGGAAGCAGCGCAGGACTCTTCCCAACAGTCAGCACACTGCCAGGAAACAGAACAGCGTTGTTCCCAACAGACATCAAAGAACTGCGTGCAAGATTCTTCTGAAGAGTCATCAGATTGGGAGGACTCCCTGGAAACAGAGCAAGATTCTTCACTACAGTCATCAGATTCAGAGAACTGCGTGGAAACAGAAGATGATTCTTCTGAAGAGTCATCAGATTCAGAGGACTCCCTGGAAACAGAGGACATTTCTCCTGAACAGTCATCATCAGAGAAGTCCCTGGAAACAAAGCAGGACTCTTGCCAAAAATCATTGCATTCAGAAGACTCCCCGGAAGCAAAGGTGGGTTTTCTTGTGCACCTGCCACTTGTGTTGCCTCTCCCAGCTTGCCACCAAAAAGCCGTGCTCGTGCCGACCTCCCCTTTTGCTGCCCTGCTGTTCTGTGCCCTGAGAGTGGGCTGGGCAGCAGGGCCAGTGGCTGGACATGGGGCGTCTGGGGAGGGAGAAATAGGATACTTTTCCTTGGAGAAGCCCACTCAGATCCTACAGACCTATGCTGAGTTTGGGATTTTTTTGGCTTATTTTCCTTACAATGTAAAATGAGGCTTTTCTGCATCATGATGAGAAGGTTTCCAGTTTCCCTCCTGTAGCAAGCCGTGTCAGATCCTGATCTCCATGTATGCCCTTCCCAACCCAGCTAGACCACCTGCTTTCAGGTCTCTGCCTTCACCCAAGTGCCAGCATTGCAGTGACAGCCCCAGAGCTGGCTTTTATAGAGTGAGACTTGGCAAGGTGTCCTGGAATGGAAAGTGCCTTGTCTTCCAGGTGCCACCATCCACTGCTGCAGGGCCTCAGAGCTCAGCAGAGACGGAGGAGTCTGTGAAGTCAGAAGAGGCAAAGCCCCCTGGCTTCAGAGCAGAGGAGGTGAGTGGGAATCTCTCTCACTTGCACGTTTTCAGCGTGGCAAGCAGGTCTGTTGCCCCCAGAGCTACAGAACTTCCTGTGCAGCACCCATGGAGGGCATTGCTCCCCTGGTACCTCATCAGGTGCTCAACAGGATATTTTTCAGG